CATATGAAAGAGATTACCAGCCCTGCAAACAAACAAACTATTAATTACATATGAAAGAGATTACCAGCCCTGCAAACAAACAAACTATTAATTACATATGAAAGAGATTACCAGCCAACGAATACAACATACAATGCCTTAATATACCACAACTACCAATAAAAAAAATAGGACTTCAAGTACGCTAGGATGGATAAAGGTCTGGCATGGCCTTGTGGTTAGGATGCTCGACTCGCAATCTGTGGGTCGCGGGTTCGATTCCCTTTCTCGAATATGCTCGTCCTTTCAACTGTGGGAGATCTATAACGTGACAGTCAATCCTATTCTTTTCGTTGGTAAAAGAATAGCCCAAGAGTTGGCGGTGGGTGGTGATGACTAGCTGCCTTCCCTCTAGTCTTACACTGCTAAATTTGGTACGGCTAGCGCAGATAGCCCTCGTGTAGCTTTGCGCGAAATCCGTAACAAACAAACAAACTATTGCTTCTAAATTAGGGACGGACAGCGCAGATAGCCTCTGTGCGAAATTTAATAAAAGAACCCGACATGGAAGAATTGTTACGACAAATGTTCGAAAATATTTTATTAGAATAGATAAATGGTCTTTACAACAACATTTGGTGTTGTATATATTGTTCGTCAACATTAATTTGATGTTATATATATTGTTCGTCAACATTAATTTGATGTTATATATATTGTTCGTCAACATTAATTTGACGTTATATATATTGTTCGTCAACATTAATTTGATGTTATATATATTGTTCGTCAACATTAATTTAATGTTATATATATTGTTCGTCAACATTAATTTGATGTTATATATATATTGTTCGTCAACATTAAGTTGATGTTATATATATTGTTTGTCAACATCAACACACCCTATTGAGAGTATCACTTACACAGTTTACTCCAGGGGTACATAAAGAACTTATAAGCGTAGCTACAGAGCCAAAGTGTTAGTTACACTGGAACAGCCAAACGATGCCGAAATAGTAATCCAGTCGAGTTCACAATTCTTAGTATGTAAATATATCTAATCTGCCTAATATATTAAGAGCGATATGCGTAATGGTAACTTGAATACTTTTTACTTACATTGCCTCTAATTTTTTACTTCAATATTCAATATATCAGTTTCGATCTAAATTTTTAAACACATAGGCACATTCTGAAATATTTCTAATAATCCAAAACGGTAGAATCAGATTGATTTAGATATAAGTATTCCAATCGCTTCAAAGGTATATTTTGTTGGAAGAAAAACACGAAGAAACATAAGCAGACAAAAAATTTAAAACATTTAGATGAACGGATACTTAACCTCAGCGTTTCTTTCATTATTATATTTCACATATAGACGTTGGCTTACGAGACATGAATGCTTGTAAGAGAACATAAAAAAAATGCATTTATTCGAAAATCATGAAAATTTTCTTTTAGGCATCAAATATCAGTCATTTTTCACTTTAAGCTAAACAATGTCACCTCCTTAAAAATAGCATCCAAAAGGTCAGGTCTTCTCTGGACTTTTAACTTTTAAATAATGTAGAACCACTACTCTTTTTTTTAATGATTCGATAACTGTATTTTATCCTTACAAAACGTATAACGTACACCAGAACTTGAACTATTTATCTGTACCTACGCATAGATTCCCTTTGTTTAAAACTAGCAAACAAGAAACTTCGAAAAAGTAAAATGGGGTGAAATTTTTAAATTATAGCACAACTGATAACGTGTTAACGTTTCTACATTCTATCATCAAGTACTGTATCATTCGATTCTGACACAGAAGTACAAAACCTGATAAGGACAACACATATATACGAGTTGCTGTAACTTTCCAATGTATTTATGTGTACTTACATGACAGCAATAGCAGCCGCATCATCTGATATCACGTTTTCATGCGTGTAACAATGAGGTATGGATGCTGTCCAACCTTGTGCCACTTGGCTTACAGCTGAAGAGAACAAAAAAAGAAAGACCCAGTAATCAGTATATTGTAAATCTAACTGTATTCGCACAATTTTTGGTTTGTACTTATATACATACATACACACACACGTATTAGACTTTCTTATCCAGCTGAATGTTTTACATACTACACATTTTCTTTTTGTTTTCCGTTTCTTATTTCTTCTTATTTCTCTAGTGCAGTTGTGAATTCTAAAATAATAACCATATCGTTTGCTATTTAGATTTAAAAAAATTATCACCCCTTTTACGGAAAGGAGAAGCAAATTGTCTTCGTAAAATCTCAGACAACCAGAAAATGTCTCTTTTTCTTTTCTCTGACGTTTTGATAAAGAAATGGCTGTGTGTTTTATCGTTAGATTTTACGTAAGTAATGTAGTCCCATGTTTTTAAGCCTTTTCTCGCTTTTAATGGGACTTTACAGAAGGTTGTTTAAAATTCAAATGACTGTTGCCAGTTGTAGGGATTGGAAGAAAACGTTGTACGAATGAGTTATGTTTTATTTGAAATGAACGGTGTTAAAGTTATTCATATTTGGCCATACAAAAAATTTCACAAAAATTATTTTCTTGTCAAATAAAAGAATTTACTATCTTTAAAATGTCTACTTCATTTTGATCCTGAAATACTTATCTTGCAATGTACCTAAGAAAATAAATTTACAAAGTAGCTTATTTAATTTCTGAATTTTAAAAGATTATTAATCTGTTAGTATATATTTTGGCAAAACGTATGCTTGTTTGATTATACATTTTATCAATCAGGTTCACTTCACAGTACATAATTTTCTATATTCTTTACATACATAAGATATGATACGATACACAAAGTTTCCTCTATATTTTTTACTGTTTACATATCTGAGATAGGTTTTAGTGTAAAAAATTCCTCACTTAACTGTCAAAATACAACCAACCTCCAACTTCAGAAACGATTTTCCTATTTTTTCGAACAAATAATCGCTAAAATGTTATAATTAATTCTTAACAGTGTTTTAAGCTTTAATTCTTTAATAGAACACCAAAATATGATTTTTAGCGATACAGTAAACGATGTTAAGTGTTAGTCAGAGGATATGCCAATAAATTCTAAGATATTTTAAAGAGTCGTCTGCTTTAATCAGTTTATCAGCAGGCTGTAATATAGTCGCACTCAAGTTTATTCTGAATTTCGAACATTATTCTAAAGCCCAAACTTACCTAGGTTAAAAGCAAGAGAAACATCATTTACAGAACACGTCGACGGTATACACAGTCCAATCTTTGGGTGACTAGACGATAAAACGGTATAGGAGGGCCCAGGTATTCCCTGAAATCGTTGAAAGAAAATGTACTATATTACGTTTGTAATTAACAGAAATCAGTATCTAAAAAGGAATTTTTTTTCGTTTGAACATTAAAAATGAGATCTAATATTTGAATAATTTATTTGATATTATTCTGACAGAATTGCTTGTTTTTTTTTATTATTGTTAAACACAAAGCTATACAAAGGGTATCTATATTCTGCCAATTGCAGTTATTAGAACCTGCTTTTTAGCGTCATAAGCCCTCATACTTACCGTTGAGCCATCGGAGAGCTTTTCTGATAGAAATATTTGAAATTGTGTAAACCTAGTGTCAGTAAATCACAGAACATTTTGAAACAACTAACCATAACTCACAACCAACGCCTCTGCTTGTTTGAGACAGATATGTTTTCTTGAAAGTGGACGAAAATTAATAAATATAGGGTCAAAGCTAGAATAGAATTTGGAAGTTGCTATATGAGCAGAGGTTGTGAAGACACGCAGATAACTCCCATCGCGGCTCAGTTAGAACACCTCAACTTCGCTCTTAAAATCAAACATTCTAATACACTGAAACATATCTCGTTTTTTTAGTGAAGACAAGCTTATAAGTTTGTTGTTATCTTCTGGTCAATGAAAAATGCTAAAGCGGTTAAGCATATTTTGCTACATTTGGTGTTTTACGGTGGCTCAGCGGTAAGTCTATGGGCAGACAATGATAAATCTGGGGTTCGATTACCCATGGTGGACAGAATGCAGAATGCCCATTGCGTAGCTTTACACTAAGAACACAACAACAACAACAACAGCTATGTTGACCATCCATGTTTAAAAGGGCTCCATCTTGTGGATATTGTAGTCTACAAGTACAGGTCAAAAATAATAAAATTATCCATCAACAAAGTTAAACGTATGAGAAACAGCATATTAAACAATGGAACAACTGAATAAAAAGGATTTACAGAACAATCATGAGTATGACAAACCAACGTGAAACCATTAAATTATCGCGACATCCCCTTAAAATTAATATTTTTCATCTTTCTAAAATAATATAAAACGTAAATCACCCTTGAATAATATGGAATTTCCTTTCGAATGCACTCGTCTTATCCATGTATTGTGATTTATATGTACATATATTTTCATCCATCATATAACGAATGTTCTACTATTATGTTTACTTGTTATGTTTACCTTTCTCGGTGTTGATAGTTCGTATAAGTGATGCACAGTTTGTTTAGCTTCCTCGGTGTTGACCATTCATGGAAGTGATACAAAGTTTGTTTTAAAATCATAAATAATTTTCAATGTTAAACTTAAGAACATTTTATTTAGGCCTATCTATGACCTTCAAAAAGTTGATGACTCTACGTGTTTCGACGTTACAGGAGGATGACGTTGTAACGTCGAAACATGTAGAGTCGTCAACTTTTTTGAAGGCCATAGATAGGCCTAAATAAAATGTTTTTAATTGTGTACCAGTTTAACGTTGAAAATTATCTATGATTTTAACTTTATACACAAGTGCCAAAATACTATAATTACAGTTTGTTTTGTTTATCTTTTCCGGTGTTGGGAGTTCGTGAAGGTGATACACAGGTTGTTTATCTTCCTTCGATCTCGGAAACCACACCGTATAGACCTCACAGGTGATGCCTGTTCTAATAAGACTTCTTTGGATGCGGTAAACACTATGAAAGTTTTGTAAAGATGATTTTTGACACCTTCTGACAGTCATAACAAGTGAGCGTTTGTCACCATGCTAAACGACTATCGTATTCCTGATACTGTCATATTAGTCTTATGCACATTAATTCATACTTTGCCAAGCATTAATGATATTTACTGTATAGTTTTTCTACATTTTCAGGAGCCTATAGTTTCACCTCTCTTAATTCATGCAATTCAGAATGTTTAAGCATCTTTCATATACTTCACACTACTTATTTACCTTTCTGACGTGTATTTGTAGAGCATGTTGGGCGAATCATGGTTCATGTTCAAGGAGTGATCAGTTAATTTTAGCAGTGGAAGTCATTGTTGCGATCACAATAGTTTTTACATTAAAAAATTTTTGTGTCTTGTTTAGTGCAGCTGCTTAAGGTTTATTGGAAGTGTTTAATTAACTTGTTGTAATCAACGATAGTAATGGTTTCTTGTTTGGACATCAGACCTACCTGAGGTGGAGTGGATGTGGTACCTGCAAATGAAAGCGTTGGTAGGCAGTATTTTCCCCTGAAAAGCAGAAAGTCTTCCATTGTCGTGTTCTTTGGAGGGATAGCAGTTGTCGTAACACATTCTGAATAAAAACCAAGAAATACCACACTCCCTTCCATTATTCCGCTAGAGGGCTTACCGAGAGCATCAATCACTAGAAATAAAATAAATACATGATAAAAACCGAGAAGCTCAATACAAATATATATATGGTAAATGTTCGAGAAAGTTTTTGGGGCTCTGTGCCTAATGCACGTAATTTTATATACCGATCTAACTAACAATAAGCAATTTCATAAAGCAATAATTTATAATCATTAGAGTACACTGATTCGTCAGTTGGGTATATTTGCTGTTTTAATTGTCTAAATTATCACAGGTAAGACCCATTTAGTCACGTGATTATTTATTTAATTCTTCTACTGTTGGTCAGCACTATTTCAAAGCCCCCCCCCCCAGTAGCATAGCGGTATGTCTGCGGACTTATAACGCTAGAAACCGGGTTTCGATACCCGTGTTGGGCAGAGCACAGATAGCCCTTTATGTAGCTTTGTGTTTAACTACAAATTAATTCAACATCTTATTGACTATAACTTAGATAAAGCCTAATTTTTTACATAGATATTATCATTTATAAATTTATTGATCAAACTGCAGAATTATTACTCTATTCGGGCCGGACATAGCCTAGTGATTAAAGTGACGGACTTTGGATTTGAGTGTCCATGGTTCGCACCCCCTTTCCGCTAAAAAATAATCGTACTCTGTACTCTGAGGCCGTTACAAGAGTGACGGTCAAAGCCCACTATTTGAAATGGGGACACTACTTATGTACTAATGGTGTGGCGATACAACGATACGATACGAGTATATCGTATCGTGAAGTCGTAATACGATTGTATGGATACATCGTTCGATATGATACGATACGATTTATGTACTTTCACGAAATTTGGCAAGCTTTCAGTAATCATTATAAGTCTTTTGTACAGAAAAAATCAGAATTTCTAATAAAGCATTTTTGCTAAAAATGAATGATTCAATAAAGAAAGATGAATATTGAGTACTACATGTTGTCTTCATTTCTTTTATCAAAAACATTACATACAAAGTAACATAACAAGTTAACAATAACAAAATAGATAGACAGATATTAACTTTTTTATTTTACTTCTCTTGCCAGCTGCTACTTAGTCGATCAAACGTGAGAATTTGAAAGAGCACTGTAAAGTGTGAAGTACTTAAATAAGACA